CTGCTAATGCTCACGTTTAAAAAGAGTTGCTTTTTTTCGGGGTAAACTTCGTCACAAACTTTAAGTATACCGTTTTTAATGAAATCCCCCTTCCCCCTCCATGTCCATGTTCTTGTTTTTGTTCGCGTGTTTCGTTTCATGATGTCGTCTCAGATTACACTATTTCAATCGTGCCACACTTTCTCCGCACAGAAGACACACAGGTTTTCCAGCTACGTCCAAGAACATGTACTTCGACTCTCACCTTGTTTGAAACCCGCGGTTCTCAGTGTCCACCTTCCATTTTGCCATTTTTAATGGGTATCTGAAAGCTAATGTCACTGTTATGGGAACGACTGCTAGACTAATAAATATTTAAATAAAGCGGCCGACTGCTTGGCACGTCACCGTTGCATTGTGGAAAATGTAGTATTGGTGCGTGTAAAAGATCTGCGAGCTCTCGGCTTTCTGCGGTCCGCGGGCCGGTTCTAATAATAAATCAATATCATCCCAGGGGCCACTGAAAACATTCTCGCGGGGCGGATTTGGCCCGCGGGCCGGCACTTTGACATATGTGATTTAGAGTGTTCCATTGACCTGCCACGCATGTTTTTGGAATGTGGGAGGAAACCTGAGTACCCGGAGAAAACCCACACAGGCACTGGGCGAACATGCAAACTCCACATCGGAACGTCGAAGACGGAATCGAACGCCGCACCTCTGCAACAATGTGACGCGGACGTGCTAATCAGTCAATCACCATGAGTTGTAACATTCATGATCATTTAAAAAGACCCTAGACAAGTCTCCCAGAGCTTGCTTGAAGGTATTGCAATGTCAGACAAAATCTGTTAAACATACAGTCGAACAAAAAGTTATAAGCCCAGTCCGACATTAATACTGTTTGTACAGTATTTTGAGAAATAATGAAGGAATTTCCATCATCCAAACTTTTTATGAAAAAACAAACATGGTCTATTCCAACGTACCTTTTCAAAAGCCTTGTGGAAATCAGATGCGGTGTAAAATAAATCAGCACACCCCTCCAGATTTGTTCGAAACGTTTTCTTGCGAAATCAATATTTTGTGTGACTTGATAGTAAAAAATATTTGCACCGAGGTGGGCTATGGATTGCAAATGACATTTGTCAATGTGCACATGCAATCACATTTTTTTTTTTTTTTTGGGTGAAAATTCATGGATATAGATCGCAATGAAAATATAACAAGGCCTCAAGTTAGATCTGAAAAATCAGTTCACAAGGATTCAACTACAGGTGGGTTCAGTCGTCATCAAAACAAGTGGAAATTGTTGTGTTAACTGTGAAATAAAAGCGCACTTTTCAGAGAGGGGCTCGTCATTTATTCAGATTTAGATTCAGATTCAGGAAACTTTATTTATCCCCATGGGGTAATTGGACTTAACAGGCACGCTCTGCACAAGGGCACGCTCTGCACAATGTTTTATGTTGATCATTGGAGTGTGCGACAAGATAAAATAATCTTCATTAGTCCCACACTGGGGACATCAGTAAAACTGTCCATACATTGTACATGTTTGCAAAATCCTTCTTGAAGTTCTCATGGTTAAATCAATTCTAATAGTTGTATAATTAACATTTGGCTGATGTGATCGACATGAAGCAAGTGCTCCCTCTTGTGGTCATGATGGTTCTTGCAGATAAGACTGTCAAAGCTTTCTCTGAGAAATCAGGGTTGTTTAAAACCAAATAGACGCTGACCCGGTCACAACATTTTAGCTCTGCCCCCATTTGCCACGGTAATGAACGCCCAGTAGCCTCATAAAATAAGGCGGGTGAACACAGCCACCAAAACAAACGAGTGATTTCAAGTCGAGTGCAACAAGTAATGATATTTTGACCTTTTATTTAGAACCTGGTAACTGCTTTAAACTGTGAAAAACACACATTTTCTTACAAAACACACATTACATGAAAAACACTAGAATGGTTGAAAGTGACTTATTTTATTTTATTTTTTTTTAATTTCTGAGAGATTTAGAGCATTTAAGATGGTTGTACATAAAAACTTAGCTGTCATGGGAGCATAGGGTGGGTTTGGGGGTACATTTCACCATTCTTCCATTAATTTGATAGCATACCTTTGACAAAATATAAATATTACAAGTCTTTCTGCTTCCCGATTGCAACTGCATGCCATTGGTTTTGAGCAGTTTTTGTGCCTGACCAGGAGCCGCACATTATTTAATGACAAAACAAATGCCACACACCTGTGCAATCATATACATTCAGTTGTGCGTACTGTGAAAAAAAAACAATCACAGCTTTTATGATGAAGGCACTGTACAGCAGTGAGGCCCAGCATTGTTTGGAACGTGACTTATTTGAAATTGTGAGCATGTGATGATTTGAATATGATTACCCTGAAGGCAGAGTATACCCGTCAGGTTTCCACCTTCCCGTAGGTGCCGTCGGGCGGCCGGTAGTGTCTTGGGAAGGCTTTGAGTTGCAGACAGTTGAAGGCGTACTTTCTGGAGCCCACGTTCTTCACAGTGTTCTCTCGTCTGCAGCCCTCGCTGGTGAGACAAATAACATATCATGAGTCACAAATAAACCACTCACTGTAGGTGTGCTGAAAAGGTTAGAAGACATCAACCATTACCACATTAGTAGGGGGTGGAGGAAAAAAAAAAAGCTTTTTTTTTTCCTGTCTTAACAAAGAGATTTTCCTGTTGCTGTCTGGTCTGGGGAACCCAAAAGTTATTCCTCTTGTTTGACTAAAAGAAGGCCTTTGAACACAGCAAGGTATTATCACAGACTAAATTTTGAAATTTGTTTGAGTATAATGGAGGGGCACACGGAAATGCTAAGCCCCAGTCTAAAGTGTATTTTGATATTTTAAAAACAATTAGTAGATGTACCACAGAAAAATTCAACATTTAACTGTCAAAGGAATGATAAGATTGAATTGATACAAGTGCTGTCTGGTGATTTGACAAGTTCATGATTCATAACTACACAAATGGAAAAGGGGAAAGTATCTATGTCGTTATGAACATTGATGGGGCCTAAATCTGATTGGCTAATGAGAATTAATCAAATTGTCAGCTGTGGCAACGAAAACACAAAAACATCCTACAATGGGGCAATAATAAATACAGCTTTATTGCATAAGCATCACAATCCAGCTATAGATCTTAAATGTCCGTATACTATGTATACACTTCATATACTGTACAGTATGGTTCAATAAAAGCATTTAAATATGTACTTTCTAATTACCAATGTCACTGTCAAAGACAATAAAAATAAACTACATTGTAGTTCTGTGTTTTTTAAGCCTTTTTAAATAATATAATGGGGAGCACTTAAGAGTCATTACACATTTGACCAAGAGGACTGGAATGAATCACACGCACGCACGCATGCATGCACGCACACTGTTTTACTTAATTCTTATATTTTCATTGATTTGACAAGACTCAATGTGTTTCTCAGAGGTAGTTTAGAACAAGCAAGCACACGTGAAGCAAAATATACATTAAAAAAAAAACACATTTACATACAGAAATAATTAAGACATTTCAAATAAACAGAAATATGTCAAGAGCAAGGTCTTCACCTTTTGGGACACAGCTGACTACATAGCGATAGTATTTTCATTTCCTTTTCATTCACTCATCTGTCAAATTTAAAACTAAAACAAAAACAAAAAAAACAATGAGCAAATTCTGCAGTGGGAGATAAAGGCAGCACACCGGAGGAGAAACTAAAACTCTGCTTCACAGTCAGGAGAGGCAGGTTTGGATCTCAGTTGGCTAGCAGTATAGAAACTGAATGGATGCACCGTATGCTCAGTGTCTCAGTGCAGGCTGCCCATTGGAGGAAGAACTCCCAACTGCACGAAAAATGACACGAAAGGAGCTTAGTTGAACTTTTATTGGGATGACTTCAATATCACTGTTACTTCTGACTGCCATTATTTTTGATGCCTTGTCAGAATGAAATTGACCAACCTATAACATACATTTAGCAATTTTCTCACTCTCCTGAAATGTTAAATTCACTGTGAAACCCAAGCTATGGTTGACTAACTAATCTGCACTGAAACTTGCCCTGCAAAACCACATGGACAAACTATATTGTCACAACCAAGAACTTAAGCCTTGCTAGACTTGCAGCAAAAGCAACAGCACTTCCATGTGATCTTGACCAGGTTACATAAGGAAGGGAGAACAGACAACTGATGGGCAGGTTTTGCTATCATCGCTTTCTAGATGATACCACATGTTCATGTAATTTAGTCCTGTCGAGCTAATGCCCCGGTAGTCATTTTAAATAACAATTTAAGGTTCTATCTACAACAACAGAAACTATCCATCCATCCATCCATAATCCAAACCTTCCCCCCCCCCCAAGTGCATCAAAAATGTATTTTAATGGACTACATCCTACTTACCTACCCCTTGCATCAATGTAAACCTTCTCTTGCACGAGGATAATGTGCAAAAATGCAAGAAGACAAGACACACGGCTATTTAAATGCCTAAATGTCATATTTGTACAAACATATTAGTTTCCGTGTTGGTGATTTGCCAGGTTTGGTCACAGTTTTTCAACAAGCCATCTGCACAAATATGTGATAGACAACAAACCATGAAGGTCACATGATATCATTTTCTGTATTCTGTCAATCATCCAAAGTGCTTTTCAAAACCACGGTGGGCACACAAAACAGTTGTGACCACGCCCACGGGTTGCTCATTGAGCGCGACCACAGTCTGACATTAAATAACTATTGTCTGTATATTAATGATCGTAAGATGAGGTCAGAATATGATGTTTCTGTGAATGAGGCATCAGTTGTACATGCAGCAGAGTTAGCGCAGGACAATGGCACGCATCCAGTCCCACATCACCCTTCCTTGTGGTGAGTATTGCGATCACAAAGGAAAAAAAAATTGGGCTGGCCGCTACTGAATAAGTGCTTCTCAGACACTCAGCTGCAGCGGAGCCTTGCCAAGATAAAAGTCACGCTGAGGAAGATCCAAACCACCAGCAGGTTGGGACTGAGAGCCAGCAGGGGCAGCGAGTACAGGAGGCTCGGGTCCATGCTGAAGTCACGCACCGGCAGTAAACCGCTCAAGTTCTTCTGGATCACACCCTCCATTGTCCCAATGCTGAGGTGCAGGGGGCAGCGGGGGTAAGGAGACATGAATCAAGAAAAGGTGTGGGAGGGGTGACGAAAGAAGCCGCAGGGTGTGGCACAGGACGAGCAAGAATTGAAGGGGATGACAGGATGGCAAAATAAACAGTGTGTACATACAGACAGGTGATACAATGACAGACAACAATGCCAGAAAAATAACATGAAAGCCCATAATGGATCTCAAAAAAAAAAAAAGTCACATGATAGTCAAACGCATTGGAAACAGAAAGCGGGAAAAGGAGAGAGAAAATAAGAGAACATTGAGAGATGACTATAGTAAATGCAAATATATTGGACTACGAAGATTCTCTGTTCATAAATACTGTATCCTAAAAATGTTGGAAAGAATGTGTAAGAGGCTGCAATTCAAATGAGCAACTTCCCCCGCCCCCATGCTTGGTGGCTGATAAGGAAATGTGAAGTCGGCTTGTTAAAAAGAGTGATGAGAGGGGTGCGAACTAAACAGAGGTGCCGACTAGAAGATCAGGATAACCATATCTCCAGACGGAACACATCATCCTCCTTTTGCATGTCGTGAAACTGAAATACAGTGAACCCCTGCTTTTACAACTGTGAAGTTCCACAAATCGACGCTGCCTATAAAAGGGGTTTGTAATTGCCTCAAATATGGCAGCAACATAGTAAAAACTGAAACGTATTCTGTTTGGATTGATTTACTTACTGTGGTCTGTAAAAACACGGATTGAAGAATAATCAGCATCAACACCATACATCTAGCATGTAAACAATCATGAACCCATGTTACATAAGCAATTGTATTCAGTTGTTGAATTTTCAACACAAACAGAGCACCTTCACATGAGGCTTATCAAGAGTATTATCATACTAGCCTTCATAATATGCTAGGACAAACTGGGGAAAAGAAAAATCCATGGTTAGGCGTATTCCGAACACGCAAGGGTTCACTGTTGTATATTTGCTTGTTCGAATCCACATTGTTGACTTGACAGTCTTCACTGAGCATGTGATAATTGAAAGCATAATAAATAGTGGGAGTAGGGGAGAAAGTAGGAAACAAGTTATGGTGGTGGGCAAAATGATATCTACAGTAAATTTTGCAGATTAAAAAAAAAAAAAGCCCGAGCCATATCCCAAGCAGTGGAGCATGACAATAGGAACAGAAGAAAGTGGGTGTCTTACCTGCGCATACAGTCAAGCGCCTGAGTGAAGACCTGCGGTGCCATGCCATGCTCATGCTGCAGGATCAGGCATTGCTCCAGGGTGACTGACATAGCCGTCCGGTCCTTGGCGCTTTTGCAGCTTGTGAAACGAACCCCATTCAGCCGCCGACAGATCTGAGATCAACAGAGAAGGCTGACGATTAGATCAAATGATCCAGAAAGTCTGAATGCATATCAGAACCATTGAGAGGTACTACCTCTGAGGCAGTGATAAAGTAGATAAAGAGAGCTAAGGACTCCGCCCAGGTGCAGAAACTTTGTGCCCACCAACCTTTGCGGAGTACTGTGACCTTGATGACTGAGAATCTAAAAAGACATGTTGGATGTGACAGTTTTCTACCATGTATTTGTAATCGATTTATTTGTTGTGGGCGGCACAACTGTTGCGCTTGGCACGACACGAGTGGAGGTGAGCCAAATCGCTCGAGTTGGGAAATTTGAACTGTAAGAAACACACTGCGAATTTACTTACTATGTCACACAAACAGCACACACACTGTGCAATAGCATTTAGCATTAGCATTTAACATTACCACAAACACCTGAACGACAAGGGAGGTTCATACATTTTTTTCTGTTAGAGGAGGAAGCCCAGCTCTTGTCCGCTATGGCAAGGTGTGAATGAAGCGACGACGTTCGTACTATCCGACAATCAAACTCTCGCGAGAAACGTGAGGCAAAGCGACATTTTTTTGTTGACATCTTGTTTTATGTTGAGAGGGAAGAAATTTCATACAGCACATTTGACAATAAAGTTGTATTCAATTCAATTCAATTTGACCTCACACATTATACTGAAATACAGTCTTATGAGTTTCAGTAGTGTGTGCAAAAGTGTTGCAGTTGTAGTTGAATTACACTGCTGAGGATTATCTTATATTGAGAACAGGAATTTCACCTCGGCCGCCTGCCACAGGATGTCCACATTCTTGTTTTTCCTCGCCTCCACGTTATTCCCCAAAAACCTGAGCAGCTCTGGAAGACATGTCTGAGAACGAGACCCCGGGAGGCCTGTGGAAATTTTATTGGCGTCACCATGGTGTTGGATTGTGAGACAATTCTGTAAATGTATTTACGGTATTAGTGAACGCTTACAGTCCTCAGGCAGGATTTCTTTAAACTGTTCATAGTAAGAAACGAGCCTCGTCAAACTCTCCATGTTGATGAGCTCCTGAAGAGACGTGTCTCCAAACCTGAAACATGCACATACACTTTTCTAGTCCAAAGAACAGTGTTTCGGAGTTGAAATGAATTCCATCACCAAGCGTGTAACTCAATTAAGTCATATATCAAATAAATTTTTCTATTGAAATGAATTGAAATGTCATGAATTGGTTTCAATCTCTGGAAAAAAAACACGAACATTGTTTGTACTCATAAATCAAGTGACCGCTGTACATGTACAAGGTAGCATCCTCATCCTCACTCACTTCTCTGCCAGCGTCTGCTGCTCGTTAATGCCGACGTTGAAGTGCACCGGCTGGACCCTCAGCAGCATGCCGCTCTGGATTTCCCGTGGCAACGCATCAAACATGGCTACTGGCAGAGGGATGCGGACATTGAAGCCGTCACGGTTGCCCGTGATGATGGGCAGCATATCGAGGGTGGAGCTGCCCGTTGCCTGGGTGACCTTCAACATCACATCAAATGTTTCTATTTGTCATATACAGTATGCCGCAAGCATATATGACATTGAGCAGCTCTCAGGTGCATCATTTAGAATACTCACATATACGACTGAAATCATTTTCACTCACACACAATTTTTTTTGCTCACATCGACAACTGAAACGCTCATACACGACACTTTCACATGCACTACTAAAATGCTCTCATTATGTGTGTGTGTGTGTGTGTGTGTGTGTGTGTGTGTGTGTGTGTGTGTGTGTGAGTGAGAGAGAGAAATTTCATCCTGAAAGGTGTCCTTGACGGCCCCTCAGAAACACAGGTCATCCTACCTTAAAGGTAACATTTCGCAGATCCATGATGCCGACGCTCATGTCCTCCAACATGGCCAGCTCTTCTCCTAAAAACATACGAAAAACCTTAACCTACCTAACAGTGTTCAGAGACTTTTACAAAGGTCCCATTCAAAAACTCTTCAAGATAAATCTTCAATAATTTACAAAGCTTAGACCTCTGACAAGACCCAGCGATCACAAACATGAAGTAAAACAACAAATGCCAGGTAATATTGTTCATCTAAAATCCTGAAGATGTCCTCAAGCACCGATCTGCAGGCCATTTGGTACCGGACTGCACAGACCGACAAATATTTTATTTTTTCTCCAAGCGGAGCATATAGGTCAGCCCTACTACTCTGCACGACCCACCCACCCCTTGTTCACCTTCTGAAAGGAGATCTACATCAGCCTGGGGCTTTCAGTGATTACAGTGATCAGCGGGAAGTATATTTACTCGATCAGACTGGTGGAAATAGCGAATCAGATTCCAGCTTTGGTTTGCAAGTTGAAAAACTAAACAGAACGGAATAACAGAAAGTAAAGCTAGGGGAAGCCCTGACTTGGCATGATCTTCCTAAGATGAAGGAGGTACCAAGGACAAAGTGGAGGGTCAGAGGGTATCGAGCCTTTTCCGTTGCTGGTACCTGTCTTTGGAAAGACCTTAAAAAATATATTCAAAAATAATATAAAAAAATATTTAGCGGGAGGCTAAATATTAGGCAAGTCCTTTCTGTCCATTTTTAAAACAAAACTTTTAATCTTTGGCTTTTGCCTCGGCATTGCTGTTTTATGGTGTTATCTGTTTACAGTACAATGCAAATAAGCAAAAAGAGTGCCACTGCCAATTGCCAAAGCTGCAGTTTTTATTCCCATTATATCTGTGAAATCTAGTGGCATAATGAGTAATGTTGCATGCATCATTGTACCATATGTGCTGAGTAGGGATTCAAACTCAGCCAACAAGCCAATGGTGGAGAGCTGCCGAAGGAATCCATTATCACGTAGACAGTTCCTGAGTTTGATAATGAAGCTGCAGACGAGAGCAGTCAGCTGCAATACACACACACCCCCACGCGCGCGCACACACACACACACACACGCACACACACACACACACACACACACACACACACACACGCAAAAACAAACATCAATTTGTTGCATATCTGTATATACACAACACTCATGGTAACAACTGACCGTCTGGCAGAATACAACGTCACGGCGGTACTGCAGGGAGACGTCCATGGCAATGGTTGGGGCAATATCCTGCATCAGTAGAAAGACCATGGACTTTTTGGCCTTGTCGCTCATCATGGCAACGCAGTCAGTGAGCGTGGTAAGCAGAGGGTACAGCGCCTCACTCCACTCTCCTGGAATCACACACGTGCAACAAAATCACAAAATGCAACACATATAACTCCTAGTACTCATTTCAGTCGATCACCTTACAAATATGAACAATAAGGACCAATCATAAAGTAGAATATCTGGAAACGGCTAATTCAGAAGTTTTAATATCAAATCAATTAAAATGTACAGACATTGTATCATGTTAGACAGGACCACGATTGTCTAGGGCCAAAAACAACCTGACCCAAACATTCCAAAAGTGCCTCAGAATAGGAAAGGGAAATATCATTTGTGGGCTCAACACAACATTGAAACATGGAGCATATGCACAAGCAGGAAGAGATGTTGTGTGTCAATTTGCGTTGTGAAACTGTGGAACTCTATGAGTGAGGAATTAAAACAATGACCAAACATAAGTACAACGGTGGAAAAGAATGCATCAATATATGCCGCATACAAGGGAGAAATGTTGAATTTTTGGGGTTGTTTTATACTAAATGAACCAAAATTTGGTAAAATTGACCCAAGTAATCAATCGATCCATCTTTGACCCAGATTATTTTTGACTCAACTGTTTTTAGAGTGTGCATTTGTACATTTGTGTATAGGAACATGTTTATGTGGGGTATATAAGTAGAGATAGTCTTCAAGTATAAACTTAGAGTATGTAAAATTATGCACTTTTTGATGGATAAATTGTCTTAGGGAATTGTGAAGGGGAAGGAGTTAAACACATGTCAGAGAGGTAGTACATTGGGTCTCGATAAAGATTATTCATTTTGGAGGCTTTTTTTTTCATTTCCTTGTTTGTTTGTACAACACTTTTGGAAATAAAACATTCATTTAAAAGTGAATTCAAAAGGAACAGAGAGGAGACAGAGACAGCCGTGATAGTAAGCAGTTGTGGTGTGCTTGCTGATGAGGCTTCCAGGTAGCCCTTACCTGGGTACGCCTCCTCAATGTTGGGGCTTCCATCAAGAAGACGGGATGTGGTGCAACATGCACTGTTGGCGGGTGCTGTAAGCCACAGAAATGCACAAAAAATTCAATGTGGACCATAAATAGAGTTTCCAAAAACTTCTGTATCGAAAAATGCAGGGATTCCCAACCAATGTGCCACAGCATATTCGTTTGCTGTGAGAGATCATGGGTGTGCTCATCATCCAATGTAACTTAATTGGTCCAAAAATTGAGATGACATTCTCACTACTTCAGTATGTAGTTATTGGGGGGGAAGAGATGAAATAGCAAAAAAAATAAATAATAAAAAAACTGTACTTTTTTTTTTTTTTTGCTATTTTGCCCATCTACCAATCTACCATTTTCTGCAAAAAAATGTCCACAGTAATTGTTGTACTTGGAATTCAGGAATTATGTTATCAGCAGTTAACAAAAAAAAAAAAAAATAATAATAATAATAATTTCAGTCAAACATAAAACAAATGGATGAATTTCTTTGTATTAAATTGATGATTTTATGCTGATCAATTTCGCAACTTGTGCAATAAATCTAATCGTGCAAAAGAACAGCGCAAGCCGTTTTAGGCACACTTTTGTGTTTAACTTAAGTGCAATAGATTTTAATTTATGGCACATTGTTATGTTCAAACTATGCATAATCTTACAGTGGCTAACAATAACATCAAATATACATTTTAAGAATACATGTAAAGCCTGTTTTTGATCACTACTTTTAGGTCTACTACGCCACTGTATGTTAGTTATGCCCGTGGTACAAGGAGAGCAAAGAATGTTTTCATATTTGGTGTAATAAGTTTGAGAACCACTGCTCGAGAGAAAACGCTACATAATAGTTACGAATTCTAAAACACATCAAAAAGGCCCTTGGATGAGGTCAGGAAAACAGAAACAAACAGATGGCTAAATGCAGAACAAGTGCACACAAGTACAATCAACCTACAGCTTTTTCCTTCAGGGTTTGGAGGGCACACTGATGGGAAGGCAGGCAAAGATGATGATGATGTGGATGGGTGAGGCAATGGTGATGACAATGAAGATGCACACTCAAGTGATGTACTTCCCGGGTTGATCCAAAAAGCTCGTCTTTTCTCATCACCTTTGCACAGCCAAATAGTGGTGACGTTAATGACGCCAGAGATTTTGTCACAGCCAGTTAATCACTTAAAGGAGACATATCGTGTATTTTTTAAATTCATTTAAATCAGTTCTCAGGTGTCTTAACAAATGTTTGTGACTGACTTTCACACACTTTATATCACACTGCAGGCACTGCAAACACCCAAATACTTAAATTTGGCAATTAAAAAGACAATCCATCCAAATGAACTGGTCAGTTTCAAAGTCATTTTTCCACAATATGTCCCCTTGAAGTATTTTACTCTTAGTGTCTGTGTGTGCATGAGTTACTCTTCTTCACGCAGGCGCCCTGCAGGTCCGTGTGGACTTTGTCTTGAATGGCATCATCTGGCTTCCTTTCCTTCTGGAGCAGCTTGTCGACACGCTGGATGATGCACTCCAGGGACTTGTCCACGTTCAGCCACACTTTCTCCTGACAGCACATGAAGAGAGGCAGACGCCGCAAATTCATCACAGACCTGCCTGCTCATCTTTGACTGCAGAGAGGAAAATTCAGTTCCATAAATGTCCCCTTGGAATTCAACTGGAAGCACAAATGGAGAGATGAATCACATTTATTTGCTAATCATTGGGCTTGCCGCAATTTTTTTTTTTTGGCAGAATTTACCAAATTTGGTGCTTTGGTTGAGTTCTGGGTAAAGTGCCACAAGTACGGACTCCAGCCATTAGGGGATGGATCCGGACTGTATTGAATGAATAAAATTAGCAGTTATAGACATTGCTTTTAATAAGTCCCGTTTAAAAAAAAGTTTACGTAAGGTTGTTTTTTTGTATTTGTGATCAACTAGGCCTTCAATCTATACCTAAAATTACTGGAGAAAATCTTTGAAAAACAGAGCCTGAGAAGGCAGATGACTAAAATAGATTTTAAGCAATACCGGAAGTCCTACTAAAATTAAGGCGGTATTGTGATAAGGAACGCACACGTACATCAAGATCCGAATATTTTCCAGTACCGTAATTAACAGGCTAAAAACTATCTTCAAGAAGGCCATGAAGAGCTCAAATGTGATTACCCTAATGAAGACCAAGCTCAGGGTAGCCACAGATTTTGCATTTTGATGGAGAAAATTTATTATCGACTTTAAAATGCTTTTCTGTGTGTTTGTTTGCAGATTTGTGAATAACTGTATGTGACGGACTGCTAGTGAAATGCAATTTTCTTTTTTGTTGTTGTTGTTGTTTTCACGTACCCACTCCTCCTCATGCCAGTCTACATGCAGTGATGATCGACTGCTATTGCCGCTCCACTTGGCAAGTAGTGTGTCCTGGTCATTGCGGAGGACTACTTGATCTGACTCAGCGGAGGGAGACATTTTGGAGGCGATGTACTCAGGCCGTGCAGCATTCAGGGCCTGAATGGCCGACGCGAGCAGCTTACAGTCGCATACTGTCACCAGCTGTCGAGTCTGAGTAGCGAAATATCACGTGCCGTCATGGGATATTTTCAATGGGCGTGCTGAGAAATAACACACTGTAGTCAAGTACCTTATCAGCCAGCGTGGCAAGTGTCCTTTCTAGTCCGCTAGCCGACCGGTCCTTCGCAGCTCTGGAAAGCCTCTCGGCATAATAGCTGACCTGTGTTTTCAGGGTGTTGACGTGGGCGATGATCTCTTTGGCTCGAACCACGTCCTGAGGAATGAAGACGATAGACTGCGAGCTGGAGAGGGCGCTGCTGCAGAGAGCAAACATCCAGTCTTAGAAACTTGTTTGGGACTGATGGCTTAGAGATGCACAGTCTACTTGTAGGATATGGCAGGGGTGTCCAACCTTTGGCCTGGGGACCATTTGCAGTACACTTTCCATTTTTGACCATTCACTAAAAATAATGTTTGACACACCCGGCAACACAATGTAAACAAGGAGTGGAGGCATCATGAAAGATGCTAGTATTAAAAAAGGTGGAGGTGAGAGGGTGCAAGGCCCATTAACCACGACTACAATGACCGACCGGTAATGCTGTTACTAATAACTGTTACAGTTTTTCTAAATATACAAAGACATAAACGACTTACAACACAACTAAAAAACATTTTCTTCAAAACGGTGAAGAGAGATGATTTAGTTTCAAATGGTTAAATCCACCTCCTGCTTAGTGTCGAGGAGCGATTTATGAAGATTAGAAAATAATGAGCGTCAAGTAATTGTTTTAAAAGTGGTGGCTTATTACAGAGTGCTCCACTTTTGATTCTGTTTGCGGAAATGTGATTTGGAGTTCGCTCATTGCAGCGGTGGATCCATTGTAATGGGATTCAGGGCAGCGAGACACACAAACATCTTGAAAAATCTTCTAAAATCATTTGTCTTATCACCTCTCGCAGAAAGCTGTGACGTAGCAGCTTTTTCAAAACACAATAATATCTTTACAATGTTTATAATTGCTTGATTGACTGGTTTTGGTATGTTTAAAAAATTAAGGCTGAAGAATGTTAAAGTGGCACTTGCATCCTTCCAATTATCTGTATGCGGTCCTTGGAAGAAAACGTTTGGACACCCCTGTTGTTCTGTTCGAGAGCCTCATTGTAAAAACAAAACAAAACTATTCGACAACTTATTCTATTCAGCAATGTATATGTATTTCTTTTGCAGGCACATAGGATGGCATGCACAGCAATCCCCCCCCTCCAAAAAAAAAAAAAACAAAGACACTCAAATCAGCTGAATTTTAACATAGACAATTTTATACACTTATTAGCTTTATCGAGAAGCTTCGTGTATAGTTCTTCCCGTGTTTGCCGAGTACTCAAAATTCCTCCCGCGTTCCAAAAACATAGTACAATAGGTTTATTTAGAGTATTATTATTTATTAAGACTCTAAATTGCCCACAGGTGTAAAGGTCAGTGACCCGCCCAGGGTGTAACTTGCCCTTTGATCAAAGTCAGCTGGATAACCGCAATATTAAACAATCATTTTTATCATACGATTGTTCAAAACACCCAAACTAGTGAGTCACTTATGTTGATTTGCTGTTGTGTGTGAATGCGGTGATGACTGAAGGGTTGCTTGTTGTTTTTCTATTGTTGCACAAACACGGAGAAATGAAAAGAAGCAAAGCAACTCACCAAAGCTCCTCATATGCGCTGACCACAAAAGTCACAAAAACAAAACTATTAAAAGGAAGCTATAGGATAACAGAACTGCAGAAATAATGCAATAATCCACAACGTAAATGTGACCGCAGCCAAATTATAGATTGAGTGAATCGAAAGAAATATATCACCATGATTTTGTGAAGAGAAACGGTCTTTTGCAAACATTGTGTGAACTTACTGTTTCTTTGCCTCCTCAAACTTTTGAGTAAGTTTCCTCAGACCGCCGTTTTTAAACCCCTGGCAGTGTGCAGCCGGTGCCCCAACAGTGACAATGTCGTATGTGTGCTCTAGGAGCAAAGGCGCAAACAAATGTGAGTACCATACATGAATACACAGCAATGATATCAAGCATGTGAAGGTAAGCATAGGCTAACCGAAGCCCAAGTCATCTTGCACCCTCATCCTCTGAATATGCAGGTTGGTGGGCATGAACTCCATCTTCTTATCGGCCTTCCGGCTGCTGGCTTTGAATGACGGGCCTAGTGAGGAGCAGGTAGAGAAAGCGTTTAGAACGTTCTTAAAGCATAAACTACCTGACAAATTGCCACTACTCTTTGTGCCACGGATGGGGCATGAAGCCAAGGTAAGAAGCCATTGAAATTGTAAGATTGACACCCCCGCGCCCTCCCCCTCGAAAAATGCAAATTAGTTTAAAATGTTAACATTGCAAGGGGCATCTATGGCAACATTCCTTCATTTCCCAGGCAAGAATGCTGAATCTTCAAGACAATTTCCTGTGTTACTGTAAAATTTAAGTCTAAGGAGCTGATTTCCTTCGTTGTGTTATGACATACAGATGCGAAGAGGGTTCGAACCTCTGTAGTTGCTGAGGTCAGAGAGGGTTTCTTGGTACGAGGCTATGACTGTTTGGTAGTGTGAGACGATCTGTCGTCGTAGATTCTCCCAGCAGGGTGACAACTCTCCCAGCTCCTTTAGCTCACCAACCCTGCCGGCGAAAGTATGTAGCGTTAGGCTCGAATAAAGGACACACAACAGTTTTCAAGCATCTTCATCTGAGCATGTGTCTTCGTACCGGGCTGCGTCCTCCTCCAGTAGTAATTTGACAAACTGCCTGGGGATGTTCAGGGACAGGATGCTTTCGGCCATCTGCTCGAGCACCCGCAGGTGGTTGGCATCGGTTGTTGGGAAGCGATACATTCTGGACATTGTGCCGCCAAATACTGAGGAGGAAACGTAACTTAAGTAAGCAGATTGCTGACATTCATAGGCGCAATCAATACACTCCTTCCTGATCATATGATTCGTGATGTGATGCATATATCTGCCACCAAGGGGTCAGGACAGATGGAGAACAGCAGGATAGCCAATTCATCTCGAAGGATGAGGGCGAATCCAGGATTGATTTTTGCTGTAGAGCCAAAATACAGTTTCCTGAGCATTTAACACATGCTCTTGAGCAAAGTTATGGGGTGGCTGAACTGCTATGTTAATTTGGCACTCTAACATCTCTCCCTTGCCCGCAAACCCACTGAATCATTTTGTGCATGTGTGTGCAGTGGATCAGTGTGTGAAATAATAAGAGATATAAAGAGAGGCATTTCTGCAGAGGGACGTCATGATACCTGCACGCAGGAGGGTGTCTCTGTACAGTGAGGCATACTTGATTCGTACTCCCATCGCCTCCGTTAAGCTCTCGTCAACCGGCAGCACTGTCTACAGAGAACAATGAAGGAGCTCAACAGCATGAGGTGGCTCGGCTATACGCTTCATAGTGAAAATGAATTTTCAAAAGATAATTCGGTCTTTCTGAAATGCAGCATCCTACCCGGCCATTGATATTGTCTGGAAGATGGCTGACCCCAAGTCTCTGATCTGCTTTATCTTCCATCTTCCATGCGGCCACGGAGATGTTTCCCACCCGCTTGTTCTCTGCTGACCTGAGGAATGAAATCGATCCAGACAGTTCAGCAGTCGGCGCACTTGTGCATGAGGAAGAATGTGTTGCATGTGTTTACCTGAGTTCCATCTCCAATCTGTGGTCTTTGTCCTGCAGCAACTCTTTCACAGGGAAAAGTGCTGAGCCCAACATGTACATCTTAACGGACACAAACCAGAAGTCTTTTCAGTTCCACGTGCAAGGAAAGATTACTGTGAGCAAAGATGTCATACCGTGCCCTGGGAACGGTCCTTCACGTCGTAGACAGCCAGTTTAACTTGCGTCTGATGATTGATGTTAGAATCCTGGAAGAAGGCGATGCTGCTGAGGAAGATGGGGTTGCTAGTACCCTGTTGACATGCGTGGTGGCATTGCGTACAATGTCAATAATCAGCACCTAGAAAACATGCTTTTGCAAGAAGCCTGTGCGTCCCACCTCAATGACTTCGGTCTGGGCATGTTTGGTCCAGAAAGCCTGCGGTGGCGTTGTGCAGCTCACTGCTACAAAACTGTTGGGTTTCCGATCCAAACCAGGATTTAGTAGTTCTGTGCAAGCTGCCCAATGACACAACAATTACTCCACCAAAGTAAACAATATTTTACTTTTTTTTTTGACTCACCAATACTGAACTCGAGCACAGGTTCATCTGGGTCTTGACTGTTTCCTGGAAAACAATGTAGGACCTCACATGAGTGCAGGTGCAGATGATTCCTGAAGTAAAATGTTGACCGATGAAAAATTGCGTCATTAAGGTTGGATCTGGGTATCTGTGGATGAAGAGGCTCCCGGAGCAGAGCCAATGTTATGCGACATTCGATCAAACTGAGAATCGCCATCATTTCGCATAACTGAATGATAACATTCGAAATAGAGTGAACTCCCACCTATTTGCTGATTTATTTTCTAAACCTCACTTCATCAGTGAGAAATATACACACTCAACTTGCTTTGGCACCATCTAGTATTATCTTAGTTGTAAGAAAAATTGTATTTTGAAATGAGTTTCAGTTACACAAAACTAGTGCTTTGCTGCCATCCAGTGGTACAAATGAGCAATCGCATACCTTTTCGGTCGGGGCGGTTATTGCAGATTTTAGCTTTTTTCCTAACGGGGCTCTTTCCCCTGTTCCACAGTTCACTGCAATGTCGTCTATATGTGACATGCTTGTGTATGTTACTGTTCAACAAAAAACGTAATCTTATCTCCCTCACCTGCCAGGGCCAAGCCAATCATCTCACTGGACAACTGGAACGTGTTCGCCCGGTACACTGACCACGGCCTCTGAGTCCGGCCAGCGCGCTCTCTGCCCCCTGCCATGCTGGTTCGGGAAGAGGCGGTGATGGCAGGAGGCCTGGACACACAGCCTTAAGCATGAGCCGTCACACACTCCCATGTGATTTGGTCACTCCCCCTGTCAGTACCTTATTTCTACATGAGAGATGTGACAAAAAGAACAATGCAGTTGTTTGAAAATGACAATGTCGAGAAAAAAAAATCGGATTTCTGGCAATGTCAAAATAATCACAGTTCCACTCTCACAGCTCTGTATCTGCCGGTTATAAAAAAAAGAGGAACACGTCAGACCACAAAAGGAGATTTAGTAAACAAATAAGGAAGAGCTTGTGAAATTGAGACACAGAAAAAGATACAGAAAGTTAAGTCCACACCATCCAAGTCCAAGTTAAGTCCAAAAGACACTCGAATACTAAAAAATGAAAAAAAGCCACTGTGCATGACACGTTCAAAAAACGAATCGGTTGCTTCCTCTTGGTGCCTCTCTACTGTGGCAGGTCAAAATGGAAGATGAGTAAATATAAACGATCAGTGTCGACTTTATCTTGAAAAAGTAGAGACCAAACACACCACACGAAAAGACGGCCCAAATCCATATATCCATCCATATATCCATTTTCTGAACCGCTTTATCCTCACAAGGGTCGTGGGGCATGCTGGAGCCTATACCAGCTGTCTTCGGGCAGTAGGCGGGGGACACCCTGAACCGTTTGCCAGCCAATCGCAGGGCAAACAGAGACGACCAACCATCCGCGCTCACACTCACACCTAGGGACAATTTACAGTGTTCCATTAACCTGCCATGCATGTTTTTGGAATGTGGGAGGAAACCGGAGTATCCGGAGAAAACCCACGGAGGCATGAGGAGAAGATGCAAACTCCACACAGAGAGGCCGGAGCTGGAATTGAACCCGGTACCTCTGCACTGTGAACCACCGGGCCGTGCATAGGTTAAAGGTGACCTGCTTTTTTATTTTATTTTTAAATATTTTTTTGTGAAAGTGAAACTGATGATGCTTAGGTTGCACTGTACACGAACACAAAAATATATATTAATAACACGCGTACAGTCACATGTCTTTTTTTTTCTATTTCCCCCTTCATCCCTCGCGGTCAACTTGGGACCAGGCCGCTGGCTACTGGTCGATCGCAATCGACTGGTTGCGCACCCCTGCTGTAGATAAACAGAAGAGGAGTGGACCAAGTAATCGTTAGCTATAAGAAAAATTGCAAACAGCATTCAAGGCTAATAAAGTGTGCAGTACTTATTTGTACAACGAGCAAACAAAATATTTATAGGGCTAAACGTTACCAGCAGCTAATATTTGCTCCTCAAATGCTCCTCTAACCTGAAAAAAGAAAACAAACAAGAAAATCGTGATGACATCAATATCAGCCGTGATGTGAACTCACTTTTCTTGTTGTTGGTCATGCCCTTTACTGCCAAAATGCTTCCACACTATGGACCGAAGGTTTGCTGTGAGAAAACATTCCCCCGTTTGAGAAGGATCCAATCAAATTAAAGGTGTACTTCTAGGTTAATCGCTGAAGGCCTACTTCCCGATGACTGCTGCACACTGATCTCTTGACGGCACCTGATGCGTCCCAATTTGATTCTCAAGACCTACATCTGTTAAGACCACTGGACCTGCTGAAAATCATCACCTGACTTCTTTGAAAACGTGAGTCTTCCCAGTACACATTTGGTTTGAATTGACTAAATGCTCTTAATTACCACATCCTTGGAATTCCCACTGTGAAAATCCACATGCAAACGTATGCAAAGGCAATAAACCTGAACCCACAATTGCTACTCGTGTCAAAGTGAGGCTATGCGGAACCAGGGAAAAAGATGAATCAATGAGTACATTTTGATGGATAGTGAAAACAAAGGCCCTCTTTTGAATGGCATGTTTCTAGTGACATAAAACTGTTTCCATGTTGACTAGGCAAACCAAAATGCATACGAAACAAATAACTGTTTAAATCCCATGGCTTCAAGCATTCATTCAGTGCTAAGGGAAAATCAAAAAGTTGCCCTATAAGGGAGCTCCACATTTAGCTCCTTGTGTCAAGTGTGTGTATGCCTTTCTGAGTCACGTGTCCGCACAGGATTTACAGTCTACGGAAAATCTGGGACAGAGACTCCCGACACATTCATTCATTTTCTTCCACTTATCCTGTACTGTACAGAGTCCAGGGTGAGCTGGACCCTATCTCAGCAGACTGGCAGCAAAATCAATCGCAAATATAAACAGCCATTCATTCACATTTACACTTACAGGCAATTTAGATTCTTACATTAACCAACCATTCATGGTTTTGGAATGTGGGAAGAAACAGAGGAAACCACCAAAACATAGAAAACATGCGACGTCTCTTGACTGTGAGGCAGAAATGCCACAACATGCTTTTTAGTGTCGCCTCTGACACATACTGGAGGACTACAACTTGTAGTGCGTCACTAAAATGTGTGTGTGTTTAATTTAAAGGTCAGAGTTTGTCTCTCTCCTCATCTAATCTCCTTGCCTTTTTGAACCTGGTCTCCAGTGCTCATCGTGTTTAACTGTAAAAGTGTGTGTATGTGTGTGCGCGCATGTGTGTTTGTGTGTGTGTGTGTGTCAGTGTGCTTGGAGCTTGTCCAGTTCCCCAAACATGGTAAAGGGACTTTTTACACTCAGCTGTCTTTGGCAAAATGAGCAAGAACAAGTCAGTCCAGTCTTCTCCTAAATCTGCTTTTTATGTGACAAACACACAAGTTGCTTTATTAATGACCTCATGTCTTTACTTATGTAGTTAAGGTACAACCATCGTTTTAGTTGTGTTATTTTCTCGCAAGAAAAATACAATAAATGTGTCAGTATCTTACAATATTGACAACTCCTTTTGTATGGCCTGCCAGTCTTTTTAGAACAAGTTAGCTTGACAGCTTACAGGTTGACAAAAGTAGAAAGCTCAGAGAAAACGGCGCTTTCCCCCCATGTTGGTTGAAACTAGTGGTAGCGCACCGCGTGTGCCATCTGTGCGTTCATTAGACGAAAGCATGAATAATGTCTTTGGACAGACAGAGCAGCTGTAAGCCTTTCATATGATAATGACCGTCGCCAAGCTCCAACCATTACTCGGAGTCACCTTCTCACTCTCTGTGAAGGAACCGCTCATTCTCTACTGTTCAGTAATGCGCAGCTTGATCTTGTTCACTAAAAAGGAATATCTTGTTTCGTGACATGCACACGTCTTCTCTGTGTTGCTCAAGTTAGCAGCACTTCCTCACGTTGCAGAAGGGCTGTTTGTATGTTCGAAGCCTTGGTGTGCAGAAACACCAGATGATTGCAAGGTCAGCAAGATCGCTTTAGGATGTGAATCCATGTGTTCATTTTTTAGCAAAAAGTATATCCTAAACAAAAGGAGGCATTTTTTTTTTTCTGGCAGATGCAGTGACTAAATCTGATCAGTGCTTATTCATCAAAATACATGCAGGAACTGAACTTTTTAGAGATGAACAATACGCTAGACCTGAAATATTATGATGACTTTGTTTTCACGATCCTCCAGCTGCTAGCACACACCATGATGATGCATTTTCCTCAAAATGTCCAAACACAGCTCAGCCTCCACTGTCCAGTTGCCAACATGAGGCCATGCTCATCGTGAATCAGTGTTGCATTGCAGCTTCAATTTCCACACGTACCCAAGGATGTCCACTCTTGCTGCGTATGCCAACGGTGCATGTAAACAAAGTCATCCCGCGCAGAGCATCACGAGGCAAAGACACAGCTGCAGTCTCAGCCCCTTCTCCTCTTCCTCTGACACGGCAGCCTTTTAACTCTTTCACTTCAGCAAAAACAGCATCACATCGACAGCTACATCCATCCTGTGGCAATACATATTCCACATTTGGATGGAAACACTTCTTGGCTATGAATACAGCATTGTTATGACATACATTTATACGTTTAAAAACTAAAGTTAAGCAGAATTAAGTAAAATATAGACGTAAACCCACCTTGATTCACCAAATACACTACTGTATTACTTGTGGTCTTCACACTTATATTTACAAATTTTTAGAAAGCGAGTGATTCTCTAAGTATGGGACGTGTACTACTCATTGCAGTTCGTTTGTATTTAACCTTTAAGGTAATACAATGGCCAATAGTCTAGTAAGTAAATGTACATACAGAATTTTCATTTAACTTTTAAGTGTGATGCTTTTCAACTGAATGATTATTTGAAAACTTTTTTGATCCATTTAAGATCATTTTGACACTGCATAGTAATGTGTTACAATAATATAACAAATACTTTTTAGGAATAAAACCTGTCTTGGTACTTGGTGTAAAACGTTTGAGAACCACTGCTGTATAAGATGTAATATTGAGTTTAGCATGTATAAACATACTGACTGTGTGTTTCACACTCTGGATCACAGTAAGTTCATGGTATTATTAGCATCTACTCATTTTTTTTTTTCCATACAAGCCACAGGAACACCTGGCAGGTTATTTTTTCCACATGTCTGGTGGTGCGCCTACACACGCGCACACACACACACAATACAATACAATACAATACAATACATGCTGATTTATACACACACACACACACACACACACACACACACACACACACACACACACACACACACACACAACTTTTACTTTTCTTTTTGAATCCACCTCTGTTCCCCTTGATGCTCATTAAAGATTCATTATACTAGATCCTGAGAGATCCAGTTTCATGCTCCAGAGTGTTTCTGTGTCACTGCGCCTCAGCTAGGAGATGTATTACTTTAAGATGTTCTACTCTTATGTTTTCAACAGCTTAGATAAAGCCATGAAAGTTTTGGTGGCAAGTAATAGCATAGAAAGTAAAGAAGAAATTATTATTTAACGATGAAACCATGCTGTTATTTCATATCAAAACGAAAAAAGTATGTATTTTAGACTTTTGAGCTCCCACCAAATGGTGGAGATGTCACTCGATGGTTAAAAAAGAGCATACAGTAATAATGGGAGAAAATTGGGAAGACCTAAACTAAATCTTGTAATATATATATATATACTGTATATACTGTACACACACACACACACACACACACACACACACACACACACACACACACTAATTCTGATTGCACCTGCATTTCAGAAACACTAAAGAAAGACACCTCAATTTGTCTCAGGTTTGAACAATCATATTGTGCATCACGAAATAATGTATTTGCATGTACTTCTCCCAAAACGCACAAAGCCAATTTCGGCATTTGGCAGATGCGATTTTGGGTGAGTTAGTTTTTTACTTTCACATATTTTAGCTTCGTTATAAATTTCATATCTGTTTGCAGAAGTAATCAAGTTTGGGCAAGCATTCAAGTTCGCACGACTTTTTGCACATGCATAGTAAATGAATCGAATCAGACACTAAGAGTATGACATAAACGAGTCATGACACAGTAATATCAGTGTTCATGAAATGTGTGAACTATTCATGATGCTCTCATCAAGATATTCAATATCTTGATGAGAGCATCATGAATATTATTGTCAAAACGTGTACAAAACCAAACTAAGTAAGCACAACGGTACTTTGGTTCATGTTCACTGCATCAGCTCGTCAAAATCCGGATGACATTCACACATATACTGTGAAAACCACTGACAGCTCAAAACCCGCAGTAGATTTGCCAAAACACACACACGCACACATCTCCGTGTCAAATACGCACCAAAACGTGTTGCATATTGCCACCACCACACGCGTATATGCACACATACAAATAGAAAGAAAAAGAAAGAGCAATGTGTCCCAAGAGGATAAAATTGTGTTTCTTAACTAAGTTACGTAATGTCACTCAAGACTGTGCCCTGGCTGACACAATGCAGGCACAAACTGCACACTCGAGTCATTTCCTGCCAGAGGTTCAAGAACATCTCCTACGTTTTCATCCATGTTTGACCTTTTCATTTCAAGTTAAAGACGCAAATGCCGTGCGTAAACAACACAGCTTGACACGTTCCCTAACTATACAAACTCCTAAAGTGTCCGAAAAAGCTCGTTTGTCTAAGGATGTAAACACGAAAGCAACGACACAAGAAAATCCACATCACAACAATCAAGCTCTTATTAAAGTCAGAATAAGTACTATATGGCAGTTACTTACAATTCTGCGTTTCACAACATAATAGATTATCCACTTATGGTCTGCGAGAAAGACAGTAATTCAGTAATTCATCGTCAGGAACGTCTTTCCGACTGCAGCAGAAGTGGCAGCGGAGCAGACTAGTTCCGCCTCCTGCATGACGTCCAGTGACGTTATCGCGCTCACGCACGTACGCAAACGTCTTTAAATATGAAAACAACTAAAATCAACTAGACAAGACCAAACAAAAAGGAATATACATTTAATTTCCCGGGTGCCAAAAACAAAAATAAACTAAAAGAAATATTAATGGTTGATGCCCCCCGTCCCCCACAGAAGTAAAGATATGCTCATAACAGTACGAAGTAGTACTTGTAAAATAATAATTATAATAATTCACTCTGCAACTATAACGATCATGCCCAACGTACAGTAACGTAGTAGGTCTAGGTGTTCTTTAGAAGTTCATAAAAACTACATTTCATATGAGTAACTGCAACATTTCGCACGGCTTAATATAGGACAAATATAGCGAAATGCCCCTAAAGGGGGCATGTGTCATTAAAAAAAAAATCTTTGTTATGTTTGTTAAAACAGTGTCAGAACAAATGTGACAGCAGGTCATAAGTAATTTGGGGGGGGGGGGGTTATCCTCTCGGGCCTCATCACTATTATAATATTTTAGGAAACTCCCACACCCAAGGAAAATCAATCAGAGACAGAAGGTGTGACCTATGAGGTGTCAGGTATCAAGCTGACTTAACTTAATTTGTATCCCCCTTGGTTTTCCTGCCATTTTTGACAATGGTTTCATTCATTCTATATTTGTAGTCTGTTTGATTTCATATAACGTTTTAGATGTAGACGTTTTAGCCCATTTGTATTAATTGCCCCTGAAATGTGATTATTTTATTTACCACTAGTGGGAGTCCGCTTACCACAGTAAGAACACTTGGAAAATGACCGCAGTATAGTACTGTATTTGCTGCAGTGTCATGCTTTTCAGTCGGTTCTCCTTAGATCAAATTTGAATTATTCTCCTCTTGCACCATCCCGTGGACGAAGGTTGTAATTTTAAGTCGACATTATTTGAAGCTAACTCCTAAGTAATGCTGAATTGTTTTTAAATTTTTTTTTTTAATTAAAGCTAGATTTTGAACTTATTCACTGTGAGCTAGTCTGTAGAAAAGGGAAGCAACACACAAAAGAAATTTCACAACATCGGTTTGCTCCACCCAGTAGGCAAAGCACCTGTGACAAGCAGGTTGAACAACAGTTGGAACAAGAATTGCATTTCGCTGAGACAGGTCAGAGAGGAGTTACTTTTTCAAAATGCAACGGCATTGCACATGTTCTTTCATGAACAAAAGAAACACACATGGGGTATGTTTGCCCATTTTGTGATGTTTTTTATTTTTGTTTTTTTTTAATGGTTACTATCATCTGATTTTATTTGCCCGGACTTGTAATCTGTGTCAAACTGTGGAAATGTGTGGACCAGTTTTGTCTCACAGACAAGATCTACTCGTGCTCCTTCTTTTGTCTCTTTGCTCTTCCGGAGGAAAATGTGAAATTCAAAAATCTGAATCTACAGCATCAGCCAGCGAGAGTCCTTTCCACAATGAAATTGATCAACCCCAGGCCTTCCCCGATGAGGAGAGGGCCAGTCTTCCTGTGTTTACAATGGACTATCCTCGGATACAAGTTCCCTTTGAATTCACACTCTGGGTACTGCTGGCCTCTTTTGCCAAAATTGGTAAGTCATTTTTTTTTTCACTTGTGTCTGTCTGTGGATTAATTCTTAAAAACAGAATGTATTAAAGCAATATTCATTAACATTTGCTCTCTCTCTCTTGCTCCTTCAGGTTTCCACATTTACCAAAAAATCACAATCTGGATCCCTGAGTCCTGCTTGCTGATTGCTATCGGGCTTATTGTTGGCGCCATCATGCATTCTGTTAAAGAGGAACCGCCAGCTGTGCTCACGTCCAATGTCTTCTTCCTCTACATGCTTCCGCTTATCGTCCTGGAAAATGGCTACTTCATGCCCACTCGGCCCTTTTTCGAGAATGTCGGGACGGTGCTGTGGTATGCCGTGGTGGGAACTCTGTGGAACAGCATTGGCATTGGACTCTCACTCTTTGCCATCTGTCAGTTTGAAGTCTTCGGAGTTCAAGATATTAATCTGCAGGTAAGTAATGAGAACAGCCAGCATCAGGTGGATCACAAAAGAGGCAGATTTGGATGCAAATGTTGAAAAAAAACTTGTTGCAAAGTGATTTCTTAATATATGTTTGTGCTCATTTAAGTTTGTGTTCCTGGCAGGAAAATTTGTTATTTGCATCCATCATCTCTGCAGTGGACCCTGTGGCTGTGCTCGCCGTGTTTGATGACATCGATGTTAATGAGCAGACACACATTGTCATATTTGGAGAGGGACTCTTTAACGATGCTGTGACTGTGGTTAGTTTTCCCCTTTTGAATGGCAACAGTATAGCTTTGCTATTTTTAGGCAGGGACAAAGACATCGGTCAAATTCCTCATTGTCTCATGGGAACTAACAAGGCAGTCTTTAGTCTGGCTGGGTTTCACTCAAGAAGCTTCCCATTGATTGTTTCCTGTATCCTTGTTCGCGGCTATTCGACCTTTGAAAACATCTTGATGATATACTACCCATCTAAACTGCAGTTGTCTGTGTGAATTAATCGTTTGAAACACGTTTTTTTTGTCATTGCAGGTACTTTACAGCATGTTTTCCTTTGTGGCAGACATGTCAGCTTTTGAATCTTCAGATGTGTTTTTGGGCGTGGCTCGGTTCTTTGTTGTGGGGGCAGGAGGTCTCCTCTTTGGCCTTGTTTTTGGCTTTGTAGCGGCATTCACCACACGTTTTACCCACAATGCACGACAAATCGAGCCCCTTTTTGTCTTCATGTTCAGCTACTTGGCTTACCTGGCAGCAGAGCTGTTTGCCATTTCCAGTGTCCTTGCGTAAGTAGGACAAGCACACCGTACGCATGATTGGCACCAACAGGTGCACACATCCTTACATGGTGCCAGAATAGCAATGCAGTCCTATAGAGTCATTCTATTAGTAGAATTCCTTTTGTTGCAGTACTGAAAGGCTCAAGAGATTGTAATGTAGGATGCTCCAGATTCTTGTGGCCTAACAAAACATGTCAAACTTGCTCTTCCTCTTTCAAGAAAGAGAGAGTTCAATGTGATTTGTGAACGCTGTTTACTTAAACATGACTAAACATGCACTGTCGTGGTTTAATTTTTTTTTTTTTGTATTGCCCTGCCCATTGGCCCATTTCATAAAGGACACCTGCAAAATTTTGATTGCATAATACAAAAGCAGCATTAACCCTAGTCTTCACAAGATGATTATTTATTTTTTTTTTAATGAATGTGTAATGTGTCTGTAGTACACAGTAGAATGGCTTACTCCATCTTGTAGTTAGTGTAATCGTAGTCAATACAGCTTTATGTTTGAACTGTTCACAACAGTAAACATTTGTGTTGGTTTATCTGACCACATCTTGCGAAGTCACAGTTTCAGTGTGACAGTTAATTCTTTAGTAGACACAAGACAGGAAAAGCACTTGGAGGATAATGACAGATGCGATTTCCCGAAAACCTGCATGCGTCTTGACAATACAATACAATACAATACAAGATATCTTAAAAAGTGCTTTGCAGATCATTTATCATAAAATAACAATAATACAACAGAACACATAACATAAAGCTTCGAAAATAATATGATCATAACAACTAAGTACAAAGGCATCTGTTTTTCAAACATCCCACAATTAACAGTGTGCAGTCTGACAAAAAAATGAGGGTGATTGATAACTCCCATGTTCGAATGTCATATTTTAAGTCAACATGCATAACAAGCCCAATGAGACAAATTGTGTATGACAAAAGATGGAAGGACTGTGCTATTTATTTTAGAGCAGGAGGGTTCTTTCACAATGATACAAATACAAATACTTTTCATTTTCATTCTTTTCAAGAAAATCACCATCTCCTGCAACCATTTCATGAGTGTACATGCATGTCTGACCCACTGTAGGATTATAACATGTGCAATTACTATGAAGTACTACGTTGAGGAGAATGTGTCTCAGAGGTCCTGCACGACCATCCGCCATGTGATCAAGATGTTGGCCACCATCTCTGAAACTCTCATCTTCTTCTTCCTGGGTGTTGTGACGATAACGACAGAACACGAGTGGAATTGGGCCTACATCCTGTTCACGCTCCTGTTTGCCCTCCTATGGAGAGGAATTGGTAAGTTGGGGCTGAACACATCCGTTTGCTCAATCAGATTTCACTCATCTGCTTGAGCTTTTTCTTTTCCCACAGGCATCCTGGTTCTATCCCAGATTGTAAATCCATTCCGAACCATCCAGTTCACATTCAAGGATCAGTTTGGTCTGGCCTATGGAGGCGTTCGAGGGGCCATCTGCTTCGCTTTGGTCTTCACTCTGCCTGACAGCATCAATAGGAAGAATTTGTTTGTCACTGCTTCCATAGCTATCATAATATTTACTGTGTTCATACAGGTGGGTGCTGTTGCTATGCTTGGCCTCTTGAGTGTTGTCGCTGTAAAAATAGAGTCATGATCAATAGTAAATCCTAATAGCGCATAGTTTTTTCTCTTGGCAGGGTATCAGCATTCGTCCCATCATAGAATATATAAATATCAGGAGGACCAACAAAGACTTGGACACCATCAATGTAGAAATACACAACAGGGTAAGACTTGTCGTTACACTTAATCATTTGTCTGTTCTGCTTGTTTCATATGATTCAATATTGTGCCAAGGTGATGGAGCACATTGTTTGCGGCATTGAGGACCTATGTGGGCAATGGAGTCACTACTATTGGAAAGACAAGTAGGGATTTAAATATATAATAAAGTCTGGAATTTATTCAGTGATAACATTCATCCATGCCTTTTGTTTTCAATCTGTGGCTCAGGTTTAAAAAGTTCAATGACCGCTTTTTGAGACGCATCCTGCTTCGAGACAGCAGGGCAGAGTCCAGTATTGTGTCTCTGTACAAGAAACTTGAGCTGCAGACAGCCATTGATTTGCTGGACACACCTGTGGGTGACCTGAGTGCGGCGCCGTCCATTGTATCGCTTTAGTAAGTTTAAAAAAATACTTTCTGTCTTGAGAGTTTATTTACGAGAATATTTTTTCTATTAGGTCTTTGTTAATGTACTTGAAATCTTGAAATATACAAACTTTAACTTTTTTCATTTTAATACTTGTATTGCGTTTTCAATTTTTGATTTAATGGCATTTTTGCAACAATGAATCTCTGGTTGATTTTTCTCACCAGCGACGAGAGGAAAAATTCGTCTCAACCCCAAAAGAATTTCCTGACTGAGGATGTGCGGAAGATGCATGACATCCTGTCAAAGAACATGTACAAGATAAGAGAGCGGGTAAGTTGAGTGGTTCCAATTTCCAATTCCATTCCCTGGGTCACCAACCTGGTGCCCAAGGACCACATGAGTTGCTGAACAATGAAATTAAACTCCTGATATCGTAGCAATGTTTAAATCATTGTTGATAATTACTGTGGGAAATGATTCACATCATCAATGTCTTAATGTACATAATGACCAATATAATTAAAAGTAGCCTGTGCATCCCTGTGCAGACGATGGCTTACACCAACAAACTCAACCAGCCTGACAATAGCCGAGCCAGGGAAATTTTGATTCGCCGACACGCGAGCATCAGGCGCAGCCTCCGAGCTGCAAGTTTCCGTGAGATGGTCAGTTTGTTTTTAAAAGCGACACACGCACACAGACCTCAAACAGCCTCCCAAACAGTTCCACTTCATAGAGTCCTGATTCTTCATCTTCCAGCCTGCTCAGAATTTGGTCAAATCCCAAAAATATTACTCCCTGCCACCGGGAGTGGATCCAGAGATTGCTTTTGCACTCAGAAGACGAAGTCATGGTGAGTTCATAAAGTTTAAACATATTTGTCACAAAACCATTTGTATTTATTTATTTATTTATTTATTTATTTATTTATTTATTTATGATCCTGCCTATGTGTTTAAGTAGTCAGTGGTGAATTAGGCCGCCACCGACAACACTCTTCATCCCGCCCCATAATTCCTCTGAGAAGGCTGAACACTGTCAAGGAGTCGACGCGTGCAGTAGGTCAGTCTGATTCATCTCCCGAGGAGGATGTTTTGGAAGAGAGACATCCCAGGGGTCATCCAGTCGCAGCCCCACGGAAGCTCAGCTCTGAATGGGATCAGCCTCCTGCGGAGAAGGAGGAAACTGTGGCTCCACCCCCATTACCGGTGCCTCCTGGCTGGGTTGCCGACAGCCAGAACATCAGGGATAACGGGGCTGGAGATCCACTACTCGGACACTTGTCACAGGGGTCTCAAGAATCTGGGAGGTCCTGAAAGGTTGGACTTGATTAACTTAACAACCTTGGACACAAATGTCAAAGGAAAAAAAATTGATGTTGGTTAATGAAGCTTGGCCCTACAACAGGTAAGGAAGAGAAGATTTCACTGTTGACCTGTATGGTAAACAAGCAGTGCATAAATCACTTTACAGTGAACCTCACTGCTACGGGTAGGGACAGAGCGTGACCACGAATAGCGAAGTTTTACATTAAAGCACAGGTGTCGAAGTCCGGTCCTCGAGGGCCGGTGTCCTGCATGTTTTCCATCCCTCCCTGCTGCAACACACCTGATTCAAATGATCAGGATCACTATCAGGCTCCGATAGAGCTTGCTGATGAACTGATCATTTGGATCAGGTGTGTTGCAGCAGGGAGGGATGGAAAACATGCAGGACACCGGCCCTCGAGGACCGGACTTCGACACCTGTGCATTAAAGGATGGTGGTCAAGTACTGTAATGTCAAAATGAATGTACGTCGATACTTATTTGACACCAAAAGTCCACTAGATGGTGCAAAAGCAATCATGTTATTGCGTTAGCCTGAACACAAAAAAAGGCAAAAAGGCAAGTTTTTCAGTGAAGATTAGAGGATAGGTCGCCCCAATCCCATCGATGAACCACTGCACAATGTTCAGCCGACCAGAATGGCACAGAGTATATAGACCTCCCTTAAAGCCAAATAATGCTAAAGATATCTGCCATATACATTCCATTCCACTCCAATTCTGTTAGTTGTATCTTATTATTTTTTCAACCACAGTGGTTGGTATCTGTAGCTGTCCTTCAGGTTAATGAAAATATGAGACATTTTCAGATGGGTGATGCACTTTATTTGTCGGTTGGTACCTTCAGATACCCTGCAGAGCCATCTTTTATAACTGTGAAAACCAAGCACAAATGGATATATTATCATTTCCAAGATCATGACAAATTACACTGACATTTATAGCTGCCTGTGCTTTTCATTAGCATGAAGAAAATGAATGTGTGTGTTACTTTCCATGGTTAATAATCTAAGATTCAAGACCTCAATTCTGTTTCTCCTTTCAGGATCATATGGTCTGTTCTGCATCTTGTATTGAAATTCTGTACTTATGTTAATATATCACTCTGCTCTGTGCCTGAAAAATCCTCTTTCCAAAGTCTCAGAGACTTGTGACATCACGTCACCTTACAGGGGGTTTCCTACTAAAGTCACCATTGTACATTGTCCCAGTATCCACTTTACGACAAAAACCATGTACAATTAAAACACTTCCCAATAAAATAAGTCCAAGAAAAAAAAAGAAATACTGAAAAATAATAATTAAACAGAAAAGGATGAGACCATGTGCCAAAATACTGAGTAAATATGTGTTTTAAGACTTAATTTAAAAATTGCAGTGGAGGTAGCATCTTTGATGTACAAACGTTGAAATGTATATCCTTTAAATGTCTATGGTTTTTTTTGTAAACCGTCAGATTTTTTGTTTATAAGTTTGACCTTGAAAAGCTTGCACACTACAGATATTTTTTCATATGTTGTCATTTATAGCTATGATGTTTCAGAAAAAAATGTGCACCTGTTGCTAAGTGTAACCCTGAATTAATAAATATGACTAAATATGCTAGTACAATGCATATTATATGTATGTTATTATATTAATTATGAAAATCGGATGTGCTTGAGAATAAACAAGGGCAGTTTGGTAGGGTTTTTGTGGGTTTTTTTTTTTTTTTGGGGCTTCTTTTCATTTCCCTTTCCTCTACAGTACAAACAGCATCGGGTGCCTGTGGGTCAGACACTTGGAATGCATCACTACACATTAGAAACACACGCTGGCAAAATGTCTTTTAAACAAGCGTGAATCTTACTGGGAGATGCTGTGTTTTGAATGTGTGAACGTCTGCAACGTAAATCCTGATCAAGAGACATCTTCCAACTCTATGTGGGAGGCATTGGCCAACCTCCTGAATTTTACTCCACAACAGCACAGTACGGGAGGGAGGCCGTCAAAGTGACAACGCTTCACCGCGAGAAGGATAGAAGAGGTGTGTTTAGTCTCTGATGTAGCTTAACGGCAATATCAGCGTAGCAGACATCAGACTTCTTGCTGGAAGAAGGAAACCTCAATTGATTGGATAAAGTGGCAGTCCATGAACGTGAGGTGCAAAGATGAACCAAACGGCATCGGTCTCTCATCAGATTGAGTGTCACCCCACCAAGGATGTCAAGGTGGGATACTTTGTTATTGTCAGCGATGCGTACTTTCCACTGTCACAACAGATTGGCAAGCAACTATAGAGGAATCACGAATGTGCTCAGTGTTAAACGAGTGTCAGTGAAAATTATTATATTGGCGTAGAAGCATTGCAGAATTAACTGTCTGGCACTTGTTACAGTTTCGTCATTATTTAAGATGGTCAATGTCACCATGGGTGATTTGTTTTGGGTGTGTCTGTCCACATGCGTTTAAAAAAAAGAAATTGCAAGGTGCAAGGCTGATGTTTGGTGGCGCAGTGGACGATTGGTTAACACGTCTGCCTCACAGTGCAGAGGTGCAGGGTTCGATTCTGGCTCCCGCCTGCCTCTGTGGAGTTTGTATTCCGGTTTCCTCCCACATTCCAAAGAAAACGTGCATGGCAAGTTAACGGAACACTCTAAATTGTCCTCAGGTGTGATTGTTGTCTTTGTGTGCCCTTTGATTTGATGGCAACCAGTTCAGGCTGTACCCTGCCTACTGCCTGAAGACAGCTGGGATAGGCTCTAGCACACCCGCGATGCTGGAGAGGATAAGCAGATTACAAAATGGATGGATGGATGGAAGGCTGATATGGCACTCCAAAAGGGCTCCCCGAAACACTCAAGACGAACATTATTGTACTTTAGTCTAGACACCGCTGGATTCACCGCAGAATAATATTACATTGCAGCTGGCCTACCGATTAAAATAAAGCTGAAAAAAAAGATACAATGTACCATGAGGTTTTTTCACTGAAACAAGTCAATCACCAAATATACTTGTCAGCTCACCAAAAGCTGAGAATGTCTTTCAAATGACATCGACACCATGAAAAAATCTCAATAACAAAAATGTAATGTGACTCAAATGAAACTGCGACTTGTGTTCTACTCACAAAAAAAGTGAGTTTGCACAGCCCACACTGCAAGCTGCGGCATCATTGCCAAGTTAACAGGAGTGTGAGAGGAGATGGAGAAAAAAAAATCCTGCTTGCTTATATTCATTGTTTATTAGAGATCAGCTTCTTCACATCACAGGCATCACATCTACTTCTATGCCATCCTTTTTCGTGCAACAAACAAACAAAAAAAACCTAACACACTGCTATTAGTGTGACAAACAATAAAACAGTCCAGACCCCTATTCTTTTCCTCAATAGATTCTAATTATTCAACAAGATTGTTTTGTTTTGTGAATCTGTAGCATCTAAGTCTCACGGGTCAACTTGAGCCTTCATCTCCTGGTTGCACTGCACTTGATTAGCACATTTTGCTAGGTGGCGGCTGCAAAAATTTATGTAATTGTTTATTTATGTATTTGTTTATTTGCTTGTTTCTTTACTTTTTTGTTTGTTTATTTATGGTGAGGATGCCATCATCATGTACTGGTGTTTATGGACAGGAGCACCACTCTGAATTATCACGTTGACACTTCTGCTTTGGCCACACTGAGGGAAGCCACTTGAAACAAATGTGCAAAATCTCAATCTTCTGCAGCTACTTTGGGCAAAATTTGACATTTAATCCCCCAAAGCAAGTCTGCTGCTTTATGCGAGGTGTGGACATTCAAATACAGTTTGCTTTTAATCTCAGCTTCCAATGCAGAGGAGCGGCACTGCAACATCGTAGACAAATAAAAGCTTTTTTCTTAATCAAAAATGAACCCTGTAATCCATGGCTGGTATCCAGGAGCTAGCACAACAAGTCGCAGAGGATTTTTATGGGCGAGGCAGGGGGTGGGGGGTGGGCGTGAAAAGCTCTTATCATGATTGATACTGTCATTTAAAGGCTTATCTTCCATTTTAACCTTTTCATGCATGCAATATGTTAACCTACCAGCATTGGGCATATTACTTAAAAACTAATTTGTTTTTGCTATTTACAATTACTTCTTCCAAAAATTAAATTAATTACTAATTCAGTTACTGCCTTGTAAAAGTGACTAGTTACTCAGCAAAGTAATCATGATCTATTGTGTAAAATAACTTTCGAATAGCTCAATGAATGATGACATTTTGATGCTTCATTGCAACCAGCACTGCAGTAGCACAATAGTTGCTAATCACTCTATCACAGGTGCACAACATGAAATGGCGACCATCTTATTGCAGCAGCACAATTTACGCATATTACAATAGCGAGGACAGAGCAGTACTGTGCATGGCAGTAATGACAACTGCGGCAACGTTAGATTACTTCGTTACTCAAACGTCAACGCAGTTAGTAACGTCGTTATACTTAAACATCAGGATTTTTAAAGAGTTTTCAAAATAATCTTTCATATAGTAGAAAGCACATTTTAAATAGCTGTGAGACCTGTGATTAAAGTACGGTTGAAAAATAAAGATACACAAATTACTTGCTCATCAACATGCTACATTTGAATGGTGTTTACCAAGGACAAAAAAGTCACTTTGCTCCTTTGCAGGGAAGTATTTTTTTCATCTGCAGTGTGTAACCTTTCATCCCACTCAATTTCACTGTCTCCTTCAAGTGCAGCAGCACCTCTTTTTCTATTTGCTAAATTAGCCTGAGCACATTGGTTGACTTTGAGCTCCTGCTGGAAGTCAGACATGACGTCGTGGTTCGATTCATTCTTTCACGGCCAAACTCCTTCATCACCATAAATATGGATTCTTTCTGAGTCAAGCAGCTGCAAAGAGTCATTTTCAGACCAGTCTTTCTTTCTTAACTTAGTAAGTAAATTCAGTTCAGAGGGCCTCACCAGGCAAATCCCCTGTGACACAGAATTAGATCATCAGACTGAGGATGCCAAGTGAAACTGGGTTGACTGATTTTACTCATTGAATGACACCATTTTTTTTTTTAAGTAGTAAAAGCAGCACCGAGCAGGAGGGGGTTCTCCTGTGTGTTTACCGAAGGGAGAGAAGCTCGACAGATGCCAACGAGAGCACAAATGCTTTGCTTTTTCTCTGTCATTTTGGACTTTGACAAGTGAGGAAAGGAAGGGTTTGATGCTTCGTGTCTGAGTCGCTGAAGAGCAAGATGATGGAGCCAGAACTGAGATTCCTGGAGGTGAGGTGTCCCTCTGACTTTTCTGTTATTATTGCAGATATGGAAGTTCTTTTTAGTCAAGGTGTCTTAGTTGTGAAAATGAAATCTGTCTACCTTGAAATCTGTCTGAGACAAACACCTCCTCTCGGGTCTGCATACGTCAGATCAGTCGGCTCAAGTCTGTTTTCACAAGATTTGAAGTGGTGCACCAGGAAACACTCTCTTCTGGCTTTTATTCACAGCAGATAGGCGTCTTTGCAAATGAGCCTTAGCGCCTGTTTCATTCAACAATAAATGAGCAAAGATTTTCAGTATGCAGGTTTTCGGCTTTATGGAATTGGGAAAATGTGAAGGTTTGTCTTTGTGTTGTGGAGTTTAAAGAAAAAAACCCCATCAAATTGTGGCATTTTGGGTAGCTGCTGATACCTTGTCCTATTTTCTTGTCCCATCTTCTTCTGGGCCGTGATCCCAACATCTAATCTCTCCAAGTTTGGTCAAAGTCATCATCAAGTTTAGTTCTATGCGTGGCTTCCGAGTGTTTTCCCCATAACCAGTTACTCAAATCCTGTTTGGCCTCCATAGTTGGGAAATGTTTTTGTGACAGCTGTGATTTATGTCATTTACGTCTGAATCCCTGCATGTGGATTTCAATAGGGAAAAATGTAAGTAAAACATGTTGTGCTTTTCTGCTTTAAATTGAGTGAGTTATACATGAGAGTTGTCATGGATACTGGTTTTCTATTAGAAAACCTTTATTAGTCTCGCAATGGAGAAATTCCCAATTCACAGTAGCAAAGTTATGACAGGAAGAAATAGAAGAACAAAATATAGGAGCTGCTGGAAAGGCAGCCACTCTCGCGGCGCCATCTTGAAGTGAAAATAACAAAATAACAGAACACAACACATAAGACACAGACAGTTTTAAATCTAAATAAAGATTTGTTGGCATAAACTGTTAATAATAATCATTTTTAGAGATGTATGTGTTTGAATTTAGGTGGTCCTGTCAAAATCATGACAACTTTGTATTTGTGTACAGTCGGAGAAATGTCACACTTTTTGATGGGGGAAGAGGGGCATTAAATATTAAGCCAAACAAATTTGGAGAAATTGCTTCTGTTGGAGAAAACGTAAAGGCACACTGCTGCCTTATGACTTTGAATTGCGTCTCTTATTAATTCCTGAAGAGCTCTGCAGCTTTCTTATCTTATGCGATGGTTTTCCAGCAAACGTTTGTGCCTTCAGCTGTGAGGCCCCTGGGTCTCCATCCTGCTCTCAGGTTAATTACATTCACCTACCATCCCAGGCAGAAACCCATCTGATGGCAAGAATATATCCCAAATGGATTTGATGCTGAAAGTTTTACTAAACTGAAGAATCCTGTTGCTACTGTATGTGGTCATATTCACATGACTAACATATGAAAACGCATCTTTTCCTTCCCTTGGCCAAATTGTTCAGCCGTGGTTTCAATCGATTATTGAAAAACAAAAATCTCCTCAATACATGTGGGAAATGTGTTACTATGATCCAACCCACCAAGATTGAACTTTATGGCCAGAAGTCCAAAAGATGTATTTGGCACCAAATCAACACTGCTCATCACGAAAAGAACAATTGACCAATAGTGAAGTGGGGTCGTGGCAGCATCAATTAACATGGGCTGATTTTCCTTCCTTCATATTTATTTATTTATTTATTTATTTATTTCCAAACTGTTTAAAATAGTTTGAGACCCCGGTGTTAACTGGTGACAGGTGTGTGCTAAAAGTGATTCATTAATTCTGGACACAGCCTCATCCTAGTTTTTAGAGGGTGTGAACACTTGTGCAACCACATTATTTCAGTAGTTTATTTTTACTTCCCTTCTTTTGCAGGTGATAGGTCACATGAATGGTGTAAAAAGTTTTGAATGATTGATCTCAAGCTCATTTTTGTGTATCGCAAAAATCAGTCATTTGGCAGAGGTGTTTTTATAG